GGTCAAATCAAAGGGATGGAGTGTTGCGCACGACGAGTAAACAGTCGTTAAGACCATTTCTAATGTTTGACTTCGATCGCTTTGAATAGTGCATTTTTTGATTGATTGATTTTTTGGGTTGGATTGGATTTTTGGTTGATTTGATATTGATTTGACTAATTGATTTAGCAGCTGAAGAGGAAGCAATAATACTCTAGGAACAGATAGAGGTATGTATATCGCTGATGTTAGCTGATCATGAGTGAAAAGAGCAGACACGCCAATGTCATCCCCCCACAAACACATATACATGAAATACAACATTATACAATGCGATCCCTACCATAACTACCCCTCCCCTTCCCCCCGATTCCTTCAAAGCAAGATCGGACTGTCTACCATACTAACTATGATCCAACCAAATTGGCTAAGAGAGAAGCTCGTAACTTAGAATAAGTGCTCCTCAGCTATCTTGAGCTAATGACTGAGATAATCAGAACGCCCAAAGGTTGTTCACAGCTCTGGTCAGACCATCGGGAGCCCCATGCCATACTATTGGTCGAATAGTGTTGTGTGTTCTTTTACATCACTCCATTGATAATACGATGGTTTAAGAGATGGTTTTATTTCCGCCTTCACGCCCTTGSCGGCTAACACGACGCATTGATTGGACCCTGTATGATGTTCCCTGAAATATTATAGGATGGACTCAGCACTTCAGTGTAGTTCAAGGTCCGCTCAGAAGAGAACCAGAATAAGAAAAATTATAACAAGACCAATTTTACTAGCACTAACCTAGTTTAATGTAATTTGTAACGGGTTAATATGAACAAGATTGCAAAAAACATTGATATCAAATTATAATTTGATCCTAACAAATTATAGACAATAACCAATTATAATTATGGCAACTCCTTCATTGATTAGCCTGTGTACATAAAAAAAACGGATGTACACATCATTGATTAGCACCCAATAATAAAACATTACAGAGATTGGAAAATAGTTCGTGATTAATTTAGTGTGATATGCTGTATTTGTAGGAAATTTCTCTTTTGTTTGTCCTAAAACAATCTTTATTTTCCTTTTTCTTTTCAGAAATGAAAGGAGGTCACGTCATCTTATATAACTATACAAACTGTTAAAAACTCGTTTTTATGTACTGAACTACATGATTAAACCAGGAAAAAAACCCTGTAAAACGTCCATTGTGTAGTTTTGAACTTTTGCATATACAAAGCAATATTATTTTTGGGAAAATTTTAACTTGAGAGTTGCAAACGCGTGTCGACAATATATTTAAATTACAACATACTATTGTATTTATAAAGGTCAATTTTATGAAGGCATCATATTCACTACGGAGAAAAATTACATCATAAGCTTATTTTCCTGCAACGCATTTAGCGAAATGTRAAAGGCAAGTAAGTATTCGTCTGACTAGAGTGGTTTTCATAAACCCGTGAAACAAAGTGTAATAATTAGAGTGTAATAGATCGTAATCGTCGCGTAGAGACAATAAAAAACAAAAGAGCCAAAGTGTAATWGCGATAAAGACGCTAAATTGTGTTTCACGGGTTAATGAAAACCACTCTAGTGTGTCAGTTTAGATTAATAGCCGACAAAATGAATGCAGGCACAACCAAAACATTTATCTTTTATTATGCCATGATGGGTATGTCAGTCAACGTTCAAGTATTTTCGATAACTTCTTTAATAGTTTTACTCTCTTATTTTGTCTATCATTTTACACTGAACGTTATGAACTTAAGGAAATTTCAAATTTCTTCAAAAGTTTTTTTTACTTTCCTATTTTACTTCTAGTACCAAAAAG